CCATGCAAACCTGAAACCTCAACATCTCTGAGCCCTCCCCCACCTGGAAAAGGCAGAGTCCTACAGTTCAGTCTCAGCAACAGTTCTCAACCACTGTTGCTATCCCTGCCCCACAGCTGCCACCATCCTTCCTCGCCACTCCCCAAGATTGCCGAGGGTCAGGGCCTCCATATCTCTTTCCTGAGTTATCATCTCCCAATTGATTTTTCCACAGAATAACTCGACTCTCCAAATTCTATTCCACACTTCACTCCCAGCTTCCAAAACACAGCTCTTATTAGTCCTTTGCCTGCTCAAAATTCTTTTGTGGCTCCATTTACCAATACTCTGTACACAGCATCCAATAAATGTTAGTTTTATTTATTTTAGTTTAAAATTCCAAGACCTGGCCTCAGCCTGCTTCTCCTCCTTTAGATTCCACGGTTCTCCCTATACACCTTGGTGCCCCTCTATGGACATGAGGTACATTTCCCCCTTCCCCGCCTTTGTTCTTACTAATTCCTTTGCTGGGCGTGGCCTCCCCAAACCAAGCTCACTAATCAATGTTAAAGGCCAGTCTTAAGTAGTATGCCTTTTATTACCAATCCCCCAACTCGTAAACTCTCCCCTTCTTCAAAACCCCAAGAGCACTCTGTTTGTAATAGTAACTACTTACTCACCACTAATTATGTACCAGACACTCATTTAATTCCCACAACTAATCTGTGAGATAAGCATGCTTATCTCCATTTTACAAGTGAGAGAAAATTAGTCTGCAGGTTAGGTATTCATCTGACTCACAGGACTAGTAAGTAGAGAAGTCAGATTTAAACCCAGATCTGAGCCTCAGAAGTCTATGTTTTAATCACTAAGCTACACTGCCTCACTGCATCTCTTTCCATCTCACTGCATAAACCATGCTGTTCTTTTGCTATTATTTATTGAGCACTTTCTATGTGCTGGGCGCTATTCTAAGTACTTAACCTGAATTAGCTCATTTAATTCCCATAACAACTCTGTAAGCTAGGTACTAGTATTATCTCCATTTTACAGATAAGGACACCAGGGCAGAGAGAGTTTAAGTCCAAGGTCAGTACACAGACAGTCTGACTGCAGAACCTGGTCTCTTAACCACACACTGGACTGTTTTTTATCTGCTTCCCTAATTAAGCAGTCAACTCCCAGAGCAGCGTCTTCATCTCTGACTGACCTTCCACTCCCCAACACAAGGCGCATCACAAAGGAAGCCTTGACAACACCTGTTGAGTTAAACTACCCACAAAGTTACAAAAAACTCAAGAGACCCATGCATCTATCTCCCTGCCAGCACATGCATTACCACTGGTTTCATTTCTCTCCCAAGTACCTCTGCACCCCCACTCCTCTCTGGGTCTCCCACTCACACCTGTACATCCTTCTTACTTCATCACTTTTCAGCCTTTTCTCCCCACACATGAGAGACACAAGGGGGAGTTCACATGTAAACCAATGCAAAATCCCAGTCTACCTGATCCCAGCTTTGGCAAACAATCAGCAGCGGTACACATACTCAGTTACTCATACTTAGCTCTTTCTTCAATTACCTGGGGCCAGACCCCCCCAGAGAAAAGCAGCAAAATGTCCTAGCATGGAGGTTCTCAGTCAATGGGTAGGCCCAGACCCAGGAAGGCAGGGAGGATTCTAAAGTATCCACAAATCCATATATACATCAAGTATCTGAGGGCAGATTGGTATGTCTTGCATATAAAGCTGAAGCTTCTTTTTTCTAATGTATATTTGATTAAATACAATGGCAAATATAACATCAAAGCCATCTAAAAGCTTTCCTGAATTCATAGTAGCTTTGAGTCATCTATTTTCACAATAAATGATATAAAAATAACTACTATTTGGTATTATAAGGGGTACTGTGAATTACTGGTTTTTAAAAATGTCCTCAATCTCAGAAAAAAGTTGAGAACCACTCAAAGCAGATAATAATGAAGTAAATGTAACTTCCAGGGAAGCTTGAGGACTCTGGCCCTGAGATCTGTCTCAGTTATCAGGAGTCAGACCAGTTCCCTTTAAAGTCTTCCTACCCCAACCCCAATACCCAAGGATGGGAGTTCACTCCTTTCCTGCTTGGCTGGATGAGAATGTACTAGAAGAAGTGTAATGAGCACAGGATATTACAAAAGCTGCCCAGGAAATAAGGAACAAATATAAGAGGGAGGGAATGTGGTCATGGGTAAGGAGGGGAATCAGCAGAGCTGCCACTGTGCCTGTCACCTCCAGATGTTTAATAGTGTTCACAACCCCCATGCCCACCCACAACATATATCTGAAAATATACACATACACATTTTTCACAGATGCATACAGCCTTACTTACCCCAAGCCTTTATCCTATCAAATACTTGTTAATATAACTTCATTCATTCCACAGATCTTTATCAAACACACATTCAGAGATGAATATCCCTACCCTTTTATCACAGATAAAGCACAACTTCCTCAGCAGCTATCTCACACACACATGCACATGCACACACACACACACACACACACAATGGGTCAGATAAACAGCCACCCCTCACAGCCCCAACACAGCTACCACAAACTCATCTGATACACATGCAGCACCTATACATATGAGACACACAACTATCCCTGTCACACACAGGTACTCAGACACATCTGTGACACACAACCATACAACCTGCATTCAGAAGCATACATCTTCTGTGGCTCACTGGGGGCCTCTGGCCAATGAATCCTTTCAGGGAATGAACACAAGCGCTCTGGTTGACCAGGGGGCCTCTGGCTACATTTTTTCATACAGCCAGGCCCCATTCTGACAGTCAGACCATAGATTAGTTACTGTAGCCCCTCTGCAGCTCAAATTTCCCTTCCATCAGAAGGGTGGTTCATCCTATTAGGAAGGCTTGGAGAGGAGGGGGTCATAGGACCAGAGACTCAAGTTAAAGGTCATGAAATATTCCTCACAGAGTCCAGGGGTCTCACTGTGGTCTTACACTGAAACATATGCACATGGTGCCTATACAGAGCCTATGCCCTTACACTCCTTACTAGGCACTGGACTTCTATTTGTAAACACTACTTTCAAACAGACCATACGCACATACTGTACATACTGCCAGACTCACGGGCCTCTGCTTGCAAGCAGACACACCCAGACACACAATTTCACAGTTTAGGGAGCACATGCACTCCTTGGAGAAAAGGCGAGAAGGTGTCAGATTAACTTAATACACACAGTTCCTGAAGATACATCCCACAACCTTGTACAAATAACCCCCAAGAGCAATCCAAAAACCTTCCTTATTTATTCCTCTACCACAACCACAGATACATCATCAAAATACTATGCAAAGTACAGATTTCCCAAGCCCAGAGCTACACCTGCTGACTCAGCTCCTCTGGTGGCTGTCCAGCGCCTGGCAGTCCCCAGAGCAGTCCCTGGGGTCTGTGGGCACACACTGCACATGCACATGCTCCCAAAGACCCCATCGCTCAGAGGGCAGACACACAACTGTTAAGTGGCCCACAGCCTCAGGAGTGCCAGGGAGAGGAGAGCCTGTCTGTCTGCACACACCTCCTGGAAAACAGCTGCCTCAGACCAGGGAGGAAGGAGATGCACATGCCCTGCCCCCAAATTGATGGGGAACCTCTCCCCCACTCCCCAGCCAGACGCAAGTACAACAGGTGTCTTAAAGTCCCTCCTTTCCCCATTCCCAGTAAAACCACAGCCCACCCTAGGCTTGGCTCCACCCTCGACCTTGTCCCCTCACTTCGTCCATCACTGCCTCTTGGGGGAGGGGGAGGGGGAGGGAGCTGGCAGAAACGCTCCCTCCCTTAACCTCCCTTTCAAGTTCCTATCCCACACTCAATTCCATACTCCAGAATCCTCAGAACCGCCCTCCAGCCCTCTAGTCTCCCTCCCAAACCCTACGCTCACAAGGGCTCCGATGTTTAAAACAGAAGCCTCCACTTCCAGTCTCTCACCCGGGAGAGACGACCAGCCATGTTTTTGCCTCTCACCCAAATCAACTCTAGTCCCGAGCCTGAAAGGCCTCAGCCACCCTCACCCTCCTGCTTCCTTCACTCCGGGTTCCCGCCCTCCTGGCGCGTGCAGTCACAGCCTCGAAGTCCCCACTCGCCCTCACCTGTCCTCGCACGCGCCGTCCCACCCTTCGCCCCAAGCCCACCGCCCTCACGCCCGGGCTCTCACCCACCAGTCCCGTCGCCGCCTCTCAGGCAGTACTTCCCGCCCACCCGCGGACCCTCACCGACTGCGGCCCCGCCCTCCTGAACGGACCACGCCCCGCCTCCTAGGCCCCGCCCGCAAGGCCCCACCCACGTTCCCCACAGGCCCCGGCCCCCCCGTGCTGACCCTCACTCTCACAGCCCTACACACCGCCTAACGCTCTACACACCGTAGAAGCCTCACACACTGTCTTCAGGACTCCCTCACAGGTCACTGACTGTACTTCCCAAGCGTCCCCGCCCACAAGGCCCCACCCAGTGCCTCTCATAGGCCCCGCCCACACAGAGCACCTCCACCAGCCCTCACCAGCACCTCACAGTCTGTCACCCATCCGACCTACACCCCCTCAAGCGCCGGACCCTCATCTTCTCGCCAGCAGGGCCTGACTACACAGTCCTACCCACAAGTCAAGACAGGACCCTCACTGGGGAACAGGGGGAGGCTCACTGGATGGGCTCACAAGGCTGCTCCCGCACTGACCACGCCCGCACAGGGTCAGCACGCTGGCCACACCCACGGCAATCCGCCGCACTACGCCGTTCCTGCTGCTCACCGGCGGACCATGCGCGCGCCCTCTCTTTGGGACAGGCGTCCTCACACGCCCCTCACAACCCTCGCGTGCTGGTACACACTCTCACTTGCCCTCCAGCCGGAGTCCGCGTGATGCAGGCGCCCTCACAGGCCCAGATCCTGGGACAACCCGCCGCTCCTCACTCCCGCGCCCAGGAGCCCAGCGGCGGCTCCCCCGGCTCACCTTCGCTGCAGAACTTGCCGCCGAAACCTGTGTGGCTGCAGTCGCAGCCCACCTCGCCGGGGGCCAGCACGGTGCAGAGGC